TTTGCTCCATGATCCCAATGTGCCCTTTTTTTTAATTTTTTTTTTAATTTTTAATTTTTTTTTTTTATTTATTTTTTTTTTTTATTTGACACATGTATGTAATGATTACAGAACAGTTTTTTTGTGAATTAAAAAACATAATTTTTGGTGAAAATACTGGAGTAGGCTTCCTACTTGTCAGACAATGGAAAACTTTGAACGTTGTATAATTTCTCTACTTTAGCAAAGAGTAGCGGTTTAAACGGAGGAAAGTATAGGACGTGGCGCACCTTTCTCTGAAGAACTACTGAGCAGGAGGAGACAGCCAGGTGAGGAAAAGCTGTTCTTGTAGCTTGCCACCATCAGTGTGTGAGTGTGTGTGTGAATGGGTGAATGAATGTAGTGTAAAGCGCTTTGGTCAAATCTCCTAACTTGAATAAAGGCGCTATATAAGTACATGCCATTTACCATTTACCATTTGTTCTTATCTATCGATTCAGTATTTTTATCATACAGACATTAGGCTGTTGTTCTTGTGCTATGAGCTAGCTGCTAGCTAATGACTTTGCTAGCAAAGCAAGATAACTAAAAAGCTTCCCTGTGTCGTTAATGATAGTAGGACATTCTTCAGTATTACTTATGCAATAGGGGCACATCGCCCGTCAAAAACCTATCATCTCCATAATGGATATATGTCTGATTTTCTAATTTCCTTTGCTGCATGATGTACATTTCATTTATTCTAGCGTTAGGTAAATGTATCCTAAAGGAGAACTCATCCAGAACTACCATGATAGATATATGATAGATATAATGTATGAAGCTGGTGAAAACAAAACTGCAAGGAGGATCGGTTGTCAGACCTTCTTTTGTTGGCAATCAAGAAGGATGTGCCAATCATTCACAATGAGGTTATTAACATTTTTAAAGACATGGCTAACAGAAAACTGCTGCTGTGAACAAAAGAGAACAAAAATAGCAAAAATGCTTAAAAGTTGGACATTTGTTTTTAAACAGTTAAATCACCATGACGGAAAATAAGTTTTTGGATCATAATCTTGGATTTAGTTTGGGGGAAAAAGAAAGGCAAGAGACTGAAATAAATAAGACATTGACCTTCACTCAACACAGAAAAGATGAGACAATGAGGAAAAAAAGAAAAGAGAAACTGACAAGAAAAAACGAAGAGGAAAGATTGAAGAAAATGTATATAGGTATTTACAAAATACACTAAGACACAAACAGAGTAGGCTTTTCTCATGGTGACATGCATTAATAAAATGTTTGTTTTGTTCTTTTTTTCTGCAGTTCCAAGTTAAAGTTTGATGCAGCAGCTCTGCTTTTCTGAATGGACCGTCTCCATCTCCACTGTCAGTACAGCAAACCAGGCAGACATTCTTTTTATAGATTACAGTACACTAAAAGGTTGCATTGTGCCCTTGTATGCATTTTTAACAGTTTAATTATGTAAAGACAAAATATGTCTGGTGGTCCAGCTCTGATTTACATCTTTGGCTAAATTGCAAGTTTGAATATTGTAATACTTTCCTATAAGAAAATAGACCTGCAGAAAGAAATTACTAATAAAATATTTTACATATGCATAGTTCTATGTTCTATGTAGAGATTTCCCTTAGCTTTGATTGTATGTCTCACAATTTTGTAATTTATCATTGTTCATTAAACTCTGAAAGCTATGTGACTTTGTTAATATTCTGTCCTAAAATGCGATAAGATGTGCCCTTTTTTTTTTTTTGAGCACCTGCCCCTTTAGTGGTCTCTGCACGGCCCTGATTCTTGGTATTATCAGAGGTGGGTAGATTACACAAAAACTTCAAGTAAGAGTAGAATTACTTTAAAAATTTTAAACAAGTAAAAGTAAGAAGAAGTGATCAAATAAATTAGAGTATTAAAGTATTTGGTTAAAAGAAAAATCTACTAAAGCAACAAGTAACTGTTAGATTATAACTTGAGTTAATGTGTTGAAATGATGCTGACAGATAGATGTTATGTGTTGGTTTTGGTTATTTTAAAGACAATACTACATCTCTGCTTTTACAGATCTATTTATTTCAACATTAATATATAAAATCAATCCTTACAGGGAGAATAATTTTTATAGAACCGGGTAAAGAACTTCCTCTAACGATATCTACTGTTTACTGTATTTTCATCTGATATGAAGCAATAAATATTACTCAAGGAGGAGTAGAAATACTTCACAAGAATATTAATCAAGTAAGATGTATGGTGATAAAATCACTCCCAATTCTTTTTTACAATTAGAGAAACACAAATAAATATAACTAGTTAGTACATAGCTCTGCTCATTATTTGATCAAAATGCACATTTAAAACCCAGATATAAGTTAAAGAAAAAGAATAGAAAAACAAGGATCCTTAGAGTAGATGATAGATAGATGGATAGATAGATAGATAGATAGATAGATAGATAGATAGATAGATAGATAGATAGATAGATAGATAGATAGATAGATAGATAGATAGATAGATAGATTGATTGATTGATTGATTGATTGATTTAACCAGCTAGCAGTCCTGTTCTTGGATAATTTGGATCTTGAGTCACAGAAGAAAATCTCTGTTTGCAAAGGGAAAACCTTGGAACTGCACACAGTGAGACACCAGGCTGGAATCTAAACCCATGACCTCTGGTTTTAATCACTTCCTAGTGTAAGAAATAACAGATTTCTGTCACAAACTATATAGCCATGGCAATCATAGTTAATGGGTTATATTATTTTAGCAGCATTAATGATTAATGAAAAGCAGATAAGTTGTAAATTTCTTTCTTTGCAAAAGTGTGGATGTAAAATATTGCTTTTTACCCAGGATTATCACATCGTTCGTGTAGAAAGTTTATTGTCCATATTTTATATGAAGTTGATATTTTAGAATGTATGAATTTTTATGAAGGCAGAAAAAAATTATTATTTACTCTCAAACTATCCATATATATATATATATATATATTTTTTAGATATAAAACAATAAACATGATGTACGAACGCACTGGAAGAAATCGAAATCTAGATAAGTCATTTTTTTTTTTTTAAATAAAGTGCATTTGTCCTTGGATTAAGGAGGTAAAAGAAATTTTCTCCAATGGAACAAGACAATTTACACTTAGAATAAGAAAACACAATTGCATTGTGTTATTACAAGTGCATATTATCTAATTATCTTACTTAGAAGAGTAAATATATTCATTTCATTGGCAAACTATCACATTTAGCAGGAAAAAGACTAATAGAAAGTGAATCCAGTAGAACTTTTTATTGCCTACCTGGAATGGGTGACAATAGTTGAAGAAACTTTTGGCTCTCAAAATGGTATCGGCAGTGGTGTCAGAAGTTCACACTTTTGTTACTTAAGTAGAAGTATAGATACTGTAGTTTAAAAACACTCTGGTAAAAGTTGAAGTATCAACTTGACCTCTTTACTCAAGTAAAAGTGAAAAAGTATGTGCTCCAAAAACTACTTAAAGTATAAAAGTAGAAAGTAACCTTTAAAAAAACAGCCAGATGCCACGATATGAATTAAAAGCTAAATTTTTCGACTATTTCTAAAAATTCTTTGAGATAGGGCCAAGGATGAGGGAGGTCTTGTTGGTCTCCGTCTCCCGATACGCTCTCGCCTGTGTCCGACCTTTCAGACATTTCAACATCTTTATCTGAATCCGACATTGTAGCATGGCATAGACAATTCACGTTAGCAGTTTGAAGAACACCTGCTTGCTTCTGATGATTTCCTTTAGCTAACCAATGAGAGTTTGCGTTCTATGACTCATCCAATCACACTAGTTTTCACTAGATGTGGATGGAGCCAATGATCTGCATTGGATGGAGCACATGACGGGAAATAAACATTATTTATAAACATTAAACCGAAGCCAAGAGTAATGAGTAACGTTTGTTGTAAAAATGTAAGGAATGAAATGTACAGATACTTGTGTGAAAATGTAATGAGTAGAAGTCAGAAGTAGGAAGAATAATCAGTAATGGAGTAAAGTACAGATACCTAAAATATGTACTTAAATACAGTAAAGAAGTATTTGTACTTCATTACTTGACACCTCTGGGTATCTGTGCCCTATTTGTCGATACTCGCCGATACCGATGCCAGTATCGGAGCACTGGTATCGGTGCAACCATGGGCGGTTCTAGACAGGGGCCAACGGGGGGCCAGTGCCCCTGTAGATCATGTTCTGGCCCCTGTTATGGCCCCTGTACTGAAGACATAATTCTCAAAGAAATTGTAATGATGATCTGTGCTGGAACAAACATAGTTACTGATAGGTCCTTTGGATCTATTTCATTTTTTGTTTCTTTACAAATTCTGTTTTTTTCTAATTATTTAAAAGCAATAAGGTGATAGATTCACTTGTATTGAGATAGGATCCCTTTCTTCTGCTAAATGTTTTTTTTTTTTTTCAAAACAAATTGCTCATATTTGTACAGCTCAATTTATCAGTTTCTCTGGAGTTCTAATTCAGATTTTATAGAAAACTGTAATTTTACCTTAAATAATGTCAAAAATATGTTAAATTCCTAAATTATGAATGCATATTGACCTAATAAGGCATATAATTTTAATTAAACCTATTGAATAAAAAATTCACTTAATGCAGCTATCTTAATATATTTTTATTTGTTTGTTTGTTTATTTGTTTTTTATTTCATGCTTTTCTGTGCCCCCATGAAAACACGCTGGCCCCCTCCTGGCCCCCTTGGTTTAGAACCGCCACTGGTTGCAACAGTAGTAAATACACTTAATTTAAGATATTTTTATTTTTTTAGAGATGTTTTTCCAGTGCGACTAAACTAAAGGTCCGTTTACTTTTATTTTGAAAGGCCTCACCGGAAGCGGAAGGTGGTTTCCGTCTAACTTGACTTCGGAGCTGTGTGGCGGCGGCGGTGGGATGAGACAGGGACAGCAGCGGGGACAGAGGGAAGGAGGAGGAGTCTGTCCCGGTCTGCATCTGGCCCGCTCCCCTCTCTGTCACCCCGGAGCCGAACCCGCCCAGCTCCTCTCACTCTCTCTCTCTCTCCGCCCGTCCTGCCGCACGGCTCTGCTCACACACCGAGACCAGAGGACTGGGAATGGACACGGAAGGGAGCCAGAGCAGCCTGTCCGCAGCGGACTCCCCTCACGACCCCTGGTAACAGACGATAAACTTTGTTTTTCAAACTTTCTGAGATGGAACCGGCTTTTTCAGTGAGGTGCGCAGGCAGCCTCACACACCTCCACAGAGGGGGAGATTCACCTAAAACAGGATGATTCTCTGGGAAAACCCATCTGCAGCTGCAGGATCTCTCTGAAAAGCCCAGAAACAACTCAGCCAGTGCTGGGAAAGTAGCTCAGCTCCTCAATGCTCCTCTGTTGACTCTATTAATCTGCATATTTTCTCACTTTTTCCACAGCAAAATGTTCATAGGTGGACTCAGCTGGCAGACCACACAAGGTAAATCCTTTTCCACCTCCAAGTCTGCTCCAGTGTCACTGGGATATTTTTAAGTTACTGCACGGATTTCATTAAATCCATCAAATATTGTTTTTTTTATATAGATTTTATTATTATGATGATCTTTTAAGCTTTAGATTTTAAATTCCCTCCTAAATTAAAATATAAAATAGAAGTTAGAAATAAGAAAATTGCATGATCCTGGAAAGTTTTAGGTAATGGGAAGATGCACCGATTACTCAACTGGAGATCGGAATCAGCCGATTTTCCCTAGAATTGGTTATTACTGTTTTTACCCTATTTAATGTAAAAAAATAAAATAAAATAAAAATTCTTTTTTTTAATGAGGTTAATTAAATCTAGCCTATAAATGCCTCAACAAGCTACATGTCCTTTGATGCAATTTGATATCAGTGAGCTGCAGGTCACACATTAACCCAGGAAGATTTTTTTCCTCTATTTATTTTATGCATCAAAATCACAAAATACAAAAAAGATAAAAGTTTAGGATGGATATTTTTTGATTCATACAAGGAATTAACCTTAGAATGAATGCTAGAGATGCACCGATGCAGAGATTTTAAAGGCTGATACCGATTATTTGGACATCGGTCTAACAGATCCCTGATATTTATTGCCAATTTTTCAGGGCCTGTATTTGTAGCTGATGTTTCTTTCTCTACATTCTTTTACTTGATAAAAAAAATGACACAATGCTAACAAATGTTACATAAATCCCAATTTAAACAAAAAAGAAACATTTATTATTAGATAAAAGAAATCAATATTAATGGAGAATGCATGTGCACAAGTTATGGCTGCTGAATGCACTGATTTACTGGTGTTTTTATGAGGAAAAAAAGCTAATATCGTATTTGCCTTTCTGAAATAAACAAATTTTTCTAGTTTTTCTAGATCTACTTTATATGAGAAACCTGCAGCCAATCCGTATCTTTATGTCTAGAGGTCGGGCTCAGAAGGTATCGGATTTGACTGAGAATACATGCAAACAAAAATCGGAATGTATTACCGGTCTGGAAAAGCCTGATCGGTTCATCTCTAGTTAAGTTTGCTTTGATTCATGCTCTGTGATGATGGGATGATTTAACTTATTTTATTAGGAAGTTAAATCAGAGAACCTGTGGCATGTTGTCCCTTTTTATTGCATCATACCTGTTGGGAAAAAGAAAGAAAAAAGTATAATCAGCAGGTCAGAAAAATCCAGATTTAATTTCGAGGTTAATCAGATCAGGAAGGACTGGAGGGCTCAAGAGATTTACGCGCTCTGTTCTTTCTAAGTTTTACTGAACAGAAAAAAAAAGCAAAAACTCAAACTTTTTTAAATGTTTTCTCTGTTTTTAAATCAAAATGCGCCCGCTTGTCGACCTCATTCACAGCATGTCTGCTTCCTTCCCATCGTCTTGTTTCTGTTTCTGTCTCAGAGGGTCTGAAGGAGTACTTCTGCAAGTACGGCGAGGTGAAAGAGTGTATGGTGATGCGAGATCCGGTTACTAAGCGCTCGAGGTGAGGGAGCTGTGAGCTTGGCTTCTCCCGCCGAAAGAGCTGAAAGTTTATCTTTACTGCGGTTTATTCCTCTTTGCTCATGATGCATCGTTTAACATCAACATCAGGCCTGTGTAATGCCTTCTTTTCCCTCCTTCACTGATGTCTGCAGGGGTTTCGGATTTGTCACCTTTGTCGATCAGGCCGGCGTGGACAAAGTTTTGGCCCAAAGCAGACATGAGCTGGACTCCAAAACAGTGAGTTCTCTGTGTGTTTACTTCCCAGCACTGCCTAATCCCATGGCTCAGTGTTTGATTAGTGGATTTTTCCAGTAATCTGCCAGAAAGGTGCAACTTTGCTACAACCTTAGTGTGTTTACCAAGGGGTTCCAGTGTGCTGCTTTTTTTTTTTTCCCTCCTCCTGTGCCAATAATACACAGTCCGGGGCCTGCATCTGCTGCCACACCTCAGATGGGAGCACTTTACATGATAAAGTCATTAAGCCGACACATGGGAGAAAGTGCTCTCTCGTCTGTCTTCTGCCAAACAAGGCAAGAAAATGTCACCCAGTGTCAATTTCCATAGAAACAAGGAAAGCAGGACAGGGCTGCCTTCTCTGCCAGGCTTTGATTTGGACTCTGAATTCAAACTAGTTTCCTTTTTTTTTTTTTTCTCGTTCCCTGAGGGCTGGAATTGACCCTAACAAAAAAGTTTCTGGATGGAACAAGCGAACGCAACCTGAAACCATCAAGGTGTGAAAAGCAGCGGCAATCAAACTCCTGCGAGCCGAACTCAGCGGCCGGTTTGAAAAGTCAGCGCCACGCATTCAGGCCGCTCCACCTGCGCCGACTGCAACTCAAAATGCATCAATGGGCCGCGTTGCAGGCTGATTGTGTGTGTGTGTGAGTGAGTGTGTGTGTCTTTTTTGTCAGTAATGAATGTGGGCTGGTCTGGGAACAATGTGGCCTGTTGGTCGCCATAGGGACCGCTGCCCCCGCCTCCCTCCCGAGTTGGGAGTGGTGATTGGTGTGAGTTGATCACTGTATTGAAATGAGGGGAGGCTATTTTCTGCTTCCACCGGTGTTTAAAAGGAAGGCGGCGTGGATCGACCAGCAGCCGATGGGAGGAAACGCGGCGAACGATTCTGCTCGTCAACTTTTAACACCTAGGAGAAGCCGTTTGAAGTATTACTTCAGCATCTCTCACTGATAGGAAAGCTCTAACAAGTAGCGGCATCATGGTTGGACGCCACTAACTCACCATGGGGCTCATTACCATAGTGATGACCCCCCCTCCTCCCAGTTGAAGAGCTGCGCTCTCAACAAAAAGACAAAAGACACCAACTCACAAGCTTTACAATCATTTCTAGGAAAGAAGGAACTGTGATGCTGAAAGTTTATCCTCCATGTGAGCCAAAGTAGAAGGAAACACGTTTCACACTCCTTGAACTTTTCTGCATTTTGTGATTTTATGACTCGCTGGATTTAGGCTGAGGTTGTTTAAAGCTGGGCTTAGGGGGCGTCACACCTGCTGGCTGTCAGTGATGGACAGGTTTAACTTTGTTCTGGTGGTTAGAGGCAGGATTTTCACTATTTAAAAATGAAATACATCCGGTTCAACACAAAGTTTTTAGGTTTTCTTAATTATCAAATAAAAAATTATTGATTTGGCAAAAAAATTGAAAAAGAGATAACTTGTTTCTGATTTGTGTTGCTAAAAATATGCAAAATCAGTTTCTAGTTAAGATGCAACAATTAAAAATATTCAACCCAAATAATTTAGAAAAAAATGTATGGAAAGATGTTTTGTATATTTTTGATGAATGGTGATGAAAGAATTTAATTCTGTCTATAAAAACTGGAAAGCTTTATTATCATCATTATGGCAGAAACAAAAATAAAAATAGCTCATTGAATTGCAAAAAAACAACCTACCAACTTAATTAATAAAATAAAAGCTAAATAAATGAGTTCAGAAGCGTGATTGGTCATGAGTAGAAATAATAGAAATTCACAATTCAATTCGTTTTGTGTTTTTTTTATAGTAAAAACAAGCAAAGCTGAAGCTCTCTTAAACAAAGAGTTTAAGATTATTCTGTAAAAAAGTAGGTGTTGTGGAAAGAAAACGGCTTATAAATAAGCACTCCGTGCCTTCCAAAGCATGATGCTGCCACCACCGTGTGAGGATGTAACCTGACTCCACCAGATAGATTTGCTCCGCATATCCATCTGGAAACCTTCCGTTGAAGTAATTTTGGGAAGGGGCGAAAATATTGGTTAGCTGATTGGCCTATGTTGGTGATAGACGGGCCAAATAAACCAATCAGATCAACGAAGCATATGATGTACTAACAGAGCGACGACGAAGAGGAGCCAATTGATAGATCAAACTCTTGCCGAAACCAGTCTGGAGAAGAGCAAAAACATCTTTTCCTCTTAGAAAAGCCTCCAGAGCAGTGTTTTGCTCTTCTTTCAGTGAAGAAATACTCTGTAATTCCGATAAAACGTGCTCGATAGCCACGCTAACGCTAGTTTCATTGGCTGAAGCCGCCATGTTCTTTAGACTGAACTGTCGCGCTTCTCTTTGCGTCACACCTCAACCCGCCTCAAAGCCAACGCTGATTGGACGTTCGTTTGGTGAACGGCTCCAAATTTTCTTTAACGGAGAGTCTCCAGACTGATTAGCGAGTGAAACCTTGAAAGCTCGCGAGATCAGGATGGTCTCACGAGGCTAGGTGTTGATGGTGAGATGGAAGTGAACTTCATCCATAGTCTTTTGCATTTGGTTAAAAGTTCTAAGAACAGATAAGATAGACTTTACTGATCTCACAATGGAGAAATTCACTTGTCACATCGGCTCAAAAGGAGGAAAAGGTGCATTCTATATAACTTATGTAAATTCAGATTTATGTACATTTAGTTGTCTTATTTGACTTTTTTTTTTTAACCTGCACTTTTTGCTCATTGGTTACTGACTGCCTAGATTTTACACGGTGAGGTAAAAGATGCACTTTTCAGGTGTTTATTTATGAAAAAACATTTTAAATGTTTTCCTTCCACTTTCCAGTTCTTACCACTCTTTGTTGGTTTATTGCATAAAATGCTGGGAGTACTAATGCGACAACATGTGAAAAAGTTCACTTTGAAGTCTGCAAGAGGTCAGCAGTGTCCTCGGTGAGTTAGCTCTGTGTGGAGAGACTCATTGATCAATCAGGGGTTGGATGGAGAGTAGAGTGGGCCTTTTAGCCCCCCCCCTCCCCGGTTCTCTCTAATTCAGGCAGGTTATCCTGTTAGAGAGGAGGGAGAGAAAAGTTCTCCAGTGGCAACAGAAAGAATGTGCCGTGCTGTGACCGAGTGAAGCGCTCCGGCGCTGGAATTAAAAGAGCTTTGCACAGCCGCCGGGCTAAAGAGCAAGTACAGTGCTGCTCAGGAATTTATTGGTGCTTATTGTGTTTTGGGACAGATGCGGACCAGTTCTGACCAGCGCGCTACGGCCGGGTGGGCTGTGATTTATGCTGCTAATGCGCAGCTTGTTGCCCTTTTCGGTGTCCTTTCAGCTTCCCGCTGTTAGAGTTAGAGTCGACCGTTAGAGGCTGAGCCTTTGTAGGACAAAGTTTCCTGCTCAGTTAAAGAGTTTAACACAAAGACACCTAAGCCAGTTGCTGTAACCCCCCCCCCCCCATCTGTTTCCATACTGAGCTGAGTGGAAAAAAAAAAAGTGCTGCTAGGGGGGGTGGCTGTGTGAGATGACCCCATCTGTGATTACTATAGCTATCCTCACTAATAGGATTGGAGTCATCAAGCTTGAGTTGCTCCTCGGAGATGTTGGAGGCTGCCGCCCAATCGGCAGGTTGCTGTGAGCGCGTTCCCAGCCCGGGCCCAGGCAGGCGCCACGGTCGGCCAACTGTTGCATATATAGGCGGGATGTAGCCTGTTAAAGGGGATTGGCCTGATTTCATAAACCTCTGCTGGACTTAGCTCCAGCTTCTTCTCTGTTACATGACAGACAGCTCTATAAACTATTTGGTTTTATGCTGTAAATATTTGATTTCAATCAACTTTACTGACTTAAAGGAATAGTACACCCAAAACATGATTAGCCTTCATTTTCTACTCACCCCCATGCTGAACAAAACTCTGGAGTACTTTTTTGATATCTCAAATGCATCTGGAGATCTGGGAGGCTTCTTGCTGTCTGCTGACATTCAAATAATGGAGGTCTATGGCGCCCGAGACAGAAAGGTCCACAAAAGTCCACAAAAACGTGTCAATATTCCTCCATACTGCTCGTCCAATGTAATCCAAGTGTCCTGAGTGGGTAGCATCCAGAATTTACTCGAAACGAAGTCATTTAGAACGTTTTTAGAGCCTAAACAGTAGTGTATAGGATTTCCTAATAGCGCCCCCATGCGCGCTCACGATTCTACGGAAGCCGGCAGACCAAACCGGAAGTCAGCGTCTGCTCTGCCAGTAATGCAAGCGTAGAAGAAGAAATGTGCTGTTTACCTGTGCAAAGAAAGAAACAACGAAAGAAAAATGTCTGAGGACTTCAGTGTTGAGGAAGAGCATGAGTTCTTTGCCGAGCTGAATGCGCTGACGCTGACTTCCGGTTTGGTCTGCCGGCTTCCGTAGAATCGTGAGCGCGCATGGGGGCGCTATTAGGAAATCCTATACACTACTGTTTAGGCTCTAAAAACATTCTAAATGACTTCGTTTCGAGTAAATTCTGGATGCTACCCACTCAGGACACTTGGATTACATTGGACGAGCAGTATGGAGGAATATTGACACGTTTTTGTGGACTTTTATGGACCTTTCTGTCTCGGGCGCCATAGACCTCCATTATTTGAATGTCAACAGACAGCAAGAAGCCTCCCAGATCTCCAGATGCATTTGAGATATCAAAAAAGTACTCCAGAGTTTTGTTCAGCATGGGGGTGAGTAGAAAATGAAGGCTAATCATGTTTTGGGTGTACTATTCCTTTAAGATGTTATTTTTTGTAAATATGCAGGAAATACTTGCCTTTTTGACTATTAAACACATAAATCTTGAACAGTTTTGCAGATCTGAAACTCAAACTGGAATAAGAGAATCTGAAAACTCTGATTCTTAATAACATTTAATCCAAGCTTTGACTAGACCATTCCAACACATGACTGAGTTTAAGTCCGTTATCGAAGGCGTTCCCTCAGCCTGAAGCATCACATTTTCACTGTGGCGGTGATGTTTTACACGAGGGTCGTCCTCGCCATGTTTGCTGTGTCCCCTACATGGATCATGCTCAAATGGAAACAGGAACTTTATGCAACATTAGAACAGATTTATGGAAGGTTTGAAGCTCAGCATATTGGTCGCAACGTAATCCTGCTTTAAACTTCTACATAACCTTCTCCCTGACCTGTTTACTCTGCTTGTTGAGCTTCAGGATGCTGTTTGTTGTAATGTTTTCAGTCCTTCACAGAAAGGCAGTGCTGTATATTTCTACTGGGATTAAATTACACAGAGAGGAACTCTATTACCCCATTTACACTACCCTTGAAAAACCGATCCATGCCGAGACCGGTCCGAGCTCGGATCAGTTAACCAGGCCGAGCTCGGTTCTGACGACCGTTTACACATCACGCTATCTCGGTTCCTCGACTCCTCGCCTCCTAGTGACGATCTGCGGTTTTACTGCCAGTATTGAAGGAGGAAATCAAGCAGTTGGTGGCGGTAATGCACCAAAAGTTGTTTACCAACCACCATAAAACACAAGAAGAAGAAGACGAAGAAGGACGGAATCAAGCAAATCAAAATGGCGGCACCCATCACATTCAGAAAGTTATGCTTGATTATTATCGCTGTACTTCGGTGTTATTATTTAAAATGTTGCATGGAGAAGATTTCGATTGTTGTTTATAGTTTAAGAAGAAGTTGTTCTTCTTCTTCTGTTTCCGGAGGGGCATTACCGCCAGCTACTGGAATGGAGTGTGAATCGGGATGTGCAGTCAGACGGAGATGATGCGTTCTGCTCATGCGCTCTTGTTATCAGAGAACCGAGCCAGGGAAAAACCGAGCTGAGCCCACCTCTGGAACTGGTCTGCAGTTAGCTCGGTTCGGTTGTGTCTAGCTCGGTTCAGTTCAGTTTGCTTCCCATCTACACACGATAAGTTATCTCAGTTACTGAGCTCGGACCGGTCTCAGCACGGTTTTTCAAGGGTAGCGTAAATGGGTTATATTTAATATGTCTGCTCCTAAAGGCAATCCGTGGGACAGATTAATTTAGGTATATAAGAGTAAAGACGCTGAATATAAAAGAAGAATTGGCCTTTTTTTTTTTTTTTTTGTTTTTGCAAAAACACAGAAAATCTAAATGCTATGTGCGCGCCTATCACATCCAGAACCCCTCGCAACACGATTGGTGCAACATCAAAACTGTGTAAAAGTTTTTTAAAACTCAAGCAAGTGTTAAAGTTTTGAAAAACTTCCTTTAGGGTGGTTGCTATGCAGCACATACAGGTTTTAAACCCCTTTTGATGACATGTTTATTATTCCTGTGTAAAGACTGTAGGTAAGTACAAACATAGCTGATTTTCAGGGGGAAATGTTTCACAATATGCAGACGATCGTCTCCTTTTCCCAACACAATAAACCAATATCATTACAGAGTTCACTGTGTCTGTTTAATGTCCCCCCATTGTCCCCAGCCTTGATTGTGCCGTGTGCTGCAACGTGTTTGACTTTTGTTTGTGTGTGTGTGTGTGTGTGTGTGTGCACAGGAGTGTTGGACATCGGGAAGGGTTGGTGACCGGAGGTGACTATCAGACTAGCCTAGCCAACCAATAGAGACTAAACAGTAGACTCTGCATCTGATCCTAAAGTAATTAGCATCTAGTGGTTTTTCTCTCTGCTCTCTAGAACAGAAGTAAAGAAAAGAGTAAATTTATCCTTGTTGTTGTTGAAAATTTGCGGCGACATCAGTTCTGGTTAGAAACATCACTGTTGCCCTCGCTCTGGTAAACGCATGTGGTTTACCAGAGAGGCTCTAGCTGTCTACTGTAGTTCAACTCTACCCTCTCATGGTTCAGGACTAATCATAGCGCTGTACTGTCTCACCATCTGTTAGTGCAACAGCAGTACAGTGTGGCGTAGACTAGATGTTCTCTAGCTCTATTAGACCAGTATAGACTAATATAGAGGTCTCAAATTTCAGTTTTACAGACTGTCTTGATTGTATCTTCATGGCATGGTGTGGTTCTCTCTCCCATCTGTGAGCCTCTCCACATGATGGCTGCTTTTTTAAAGTTGTGTAGATGGGTGTCCTAAAGCTTAATTCACTGCTTTCCTGAGAGTAATGGGTAGGAACTGAGGAGCCGGAGAACCTGAGAGTCAACAGAATGACCCAACGGTCCTTGTTGTTGTCATCACCGACGTCAGAGAGGAGAGTAAATGAAACGAATAACCCCCCCCCCCCAAAATATGCCGCTCTACAGTCGGCGTGGCGTGATTGACGGCTCCCATCTTCTGCTCCTCGCCCCCGGTTTCTCTCGGCCTCCCTCAGACACGCTCTGGGCCCTCCTCGCCGAGGAGGCGAGGTGCGTTTTGTGATTGTGATGCTCGTGTGAGATTCCAATGGATCACATGTCACACAGTGGTGATGATACACGCTGACGTTCACAGGCCATCCACCTGAGCTCTCACATGTGCTCTTACATTACATGTATGTAAAACTTGGGGCAGAAATTAATTCAAATGTGAAAAATATCCAACCTTAAAAAAAGTGAAACCAACCAATTAATCTGAGTCAGATTATGGTTTTATTATCTCCTTATTTTAGCATCAACAGAAACAAATTCCAGTGATATATCAAAGGAAAAAATACGACTTAAAGTTTCTAGTTTGCTTTTATAATACATTTAAAAAGTTAAATTTGAACTTTTCCTAAAAAAAAAAAACAATAAAAAAGACAAACTATATTTTTATTTTTAATATTTCATTTGATGAAGATTCTTTTCATTCGTTGAAACATGAAACTCCTTAAAAAAATCTGAAATTCTGACATAACAAACAATCAAAACGTTTGTGGATACACAAACTGTTATTATCTAAATAAATATTTTTGAATTAAGACTAAACATTAAACTTTAAAAAATTATTTGACATGACAAAAAAACTACATTTCAAAGTACTAAATACAGTTAGAATTTTTACCTGATAAATGGGAATTTTTAAAGCTTACAAACCTTCATGATACTTAGTTTGAGAGATCAATTTCTTCTTTGTAAGTTCCTCTACAGAAATGTTTAGGAATTGCTGAGAATCAGCATCAGAGTTCAAAATCAGTCAGTCACTGATGGCTATATCTATAATAGATCCACCAAACTGATTATTTTGACATCAGTTTAACAAAACGTAGAAACATGCTGGCAGTTTTTGTAGCAAATGTTGCACGTTTAAATTAACATAAGTGGAACAAATGTTACTCAAGTCTCAACTTAACCAAAACAAGAAAAATATATTACTGTATCAATTAAAACTACCATTTGCCAAACTTACCATTTGCATGTTTCCAAGCAATACTAGGCCTTGTCCATATAAGACTCAAACTCACTGCGGATCCAGACATTTGAATTGAGAAAGCTTCCTGGAGAGGTGGCGAAACGTCTTCAAATCTTGAAAACCAAGTCCAGTGGATATTTTTTGAACTTTTACGGAATGCCTGTGACCTGGATGACTGAGAACCTTCATCAGCATTAAAACTTAAACAATGGCCAGAAAATGGAGGGAGCAGCAATGCATCTGTTTTAGGTGTTCTCAAGGCATGGCTGCTGAACGCACTTATAAAACAGCAAACGCACAAATGAATCAGTGAAGGCACTAATAAACCAGCAGTCGCATGAACAAAGCTGCTAACGCACAAAAAAATCAGCTAACTTGCCAATAAATCAGCAAAGGATCTAATAAATCAGCTACCGCACTAATAAACCAACTATGGCACAAACAAATGTGCTAAAGCATGAACAAAATTGGCTAATGCACGAACAAAATCGGCTAACGCACAATCAAATGTGCTAACGCACAATCAAATGTGCTAGCACACGAACAAAATCAGCTAACCCACGAAAAAAATCGGCTAACGCACAATCAAATGTGCTAACGCGCGACCAAAATCGGCTAACGCAGCATCAAATGTGCTAACGCGCAACCAAATCGGCTAACGCACGAACAAAATCGACTGACGCGCTACCAAATCAGCTAAGCTGTGAACAAATCAGCAAATTAACTAATAAATCAGAGAATGCGCTAATAATTCAGTGAACGCACTAATAAATTGGGAAACGCAGTAATAAACCAGCAAATGCACTAGTAAGCCAGCTATCACGCTCGGTTAAATGAAAATAACTTAAAATCTAAATCTGCCAGGGGTATGAATAGTTTTGAGCTGAACTCAGTCTTTATGATTCCAGAATCTTTTTCAGTTTAGTTCAGTTTTGATTTTCTGATTTTGCTGCATAGATGAAAGGTGAAGATTAATGATAATATAGTCGGATGAAGGTTTTACTGTTTACAGATTTGTTTTTAATAATCAAAGCATCTTTCTGTGAATCTTAGGGGAGCATTAACCAAATACAACATGAACAATTTAACAAGTTGTGGTTGTTTTTATATTTTCCCAATTATTTATGACTGGGTTTTATATGTAAAAAAAACAAAAACAAAAAAGTTTTATCAGCCAATCTTTTACTCTGTTCTCTAAATATCAACATAAATGTTTCAAGACATTAAGACGCTTATTTCATCCTAATTATTTTAACCCACTGTTTTGACAGTTTTCTGACATCAACTATGAATCTTGCATGTTTTTAGAGCTTTTCTTTCATATAATGTGACTTTTGTTCAGACAGAGTCGTCTGCTCTCTGAAAACATGAACCATTGGGTTATGTTTTCAGAGAGGATGATGCCCCCAAAAAAGAGAAAAAAAAACAGGTGCTTTTGACCAAAATAGGAGATCCATTTTATTTGAAGCTATTAAAAGAGGCCAGGGCTGTGATATCAGAGGAACCGGCATCGTTAAGCGGTTCCTGTTTTTCTGTGTTCTCTCCTGTAGATCGATCCAAAGGTGGCGTTCCCTCGGAGAGCTCAGCCTAAGGTGAGTGGAAACGTCTCCTCATCTTGTGCATTGTTTCAGGTTGGTTAGCGTGAGTCGGGCATTTTAAGTGTCTTAAGAGGTTAATGCCGCATAATCTGACCGACACGAGCTCTGCTGCCGTCACAGAAGCAGTTTCTTACCAGAAACCTTCTCCACTGTGGTTTTTAATGATCTTGCATTACAGTTTTGAAGTTGTTTAACTTTGCATTTTGTTTAATGCAGCTAATTTTTTCCCTCAATTGTTTTTTTTATAATTCTGAGTCACTGAGAATCTTACATTTTTCCTCCATTAAAAGTTTCTTTGATTAAAACTTTTTTATCATTTAAAACAGTTAAAAACAGTTTAAAACTAATATTTCCATCAGGTATTTTCTTTTATTTATGCATAAAAACATGGAAAATGGTCTGAAATGACCTATTATCATTTAAGCAGCTTTTCTGCTTTGAAGCAAAATCTACTTTACATTATTTCTGTAAACGCAGAACTTTAATCTATTAGTTTAATTCAGTAAAACTAAGTCAAAAACATATGAATGTGACATTTTTAAATATTTGAACACATTCTGTTAGCATAGTTTTAGTATTATTTTCTGGCTTCTCTAAGATCATTTTACTGTAACTTTCTGGATCTGCCTTATAGGAAGCTGCTTGATGGATCCAAACTTTAGTTTTCAACAATTAATAGAAAAATACAACTAAAGCTTTTTGGTCATTCTCCTCACTCCATTGTCTAACAGGAGAAGGACATCGGTGTCAGAGTTTTAATGTGTTCTATCTTAGTTAATTATATTATTTTTCTCCTAAATCTTCCTGCTCTCTGTGAGTGAAGATAAGTTGAACGTGATTCCCGTTTCAGCGCTTTTAGATTTTTGCACTGATTTCAAACTTGGGCAAATATATAAAAGTATATCAATTTTATGGCTATTTTATTAATATTAAAACACATGTGCTTCAGGTAAACAACATTCTCTTGTTTTACCCATTTTTAGTGAATTAGATTTTGTCTCAAATCATATTTATACCCCAGAAAAATAGGAAGATTCTGATCAACTGAAGAAAGTAAAATACAGAGTAGAAATTAATCTTCAAGATATGTTTTCTATGAGTTTTTATGGGTTCTTGCTTATGTTGCAATGGGGCATATTAAAAAAATACTGTAACATCACCGAGTGACATAGATTGAAATTTTAAAATAATTGTAATCAAAGATTTCATTCCTTTCTGGAAAAGTCAATAATTGGCTCTTCTGATTTTCCAGGTATGATTTGGCCTAAAGATGGAAACAAGAATATGAAAAAATGTTTTGGGTTTTTAGAAATGTATATTAATCTTTATCAACCTTTTGGGTTTTGAACTACTGATAGAGATCCCAAATATACATGAGCAATCGAAGAACTCTGTTTCACTGCTTGTTCCGGCTCTGCATCTTTTATTTTTATTTTTACACTCTGTAAGGTTTAAACTCTTTAAAAAGCTTTAAAACTTGTTGTTCAGTTTGTTTCTTGTTTCTAAAAACTGAGAAATTTTCAGAGAACTTCCGTTTGGCTTAATTTGACACCAAAGTTAGTCTGGATGCCGAAATTTCAGCAGGTTTTTTTTTTTTTTTTTATCTGGATAACTCTGAAAGCATTGGTTTTCTCATTTTCACAGTTTTCTACTTAAATGTATGCACACACAATGTTAGAAAAACTACCAGATGTCCTAAAGGGTGTGAAATGTTTTCCTTTTTGTTCAGCTGGTGACACGAACCAAGAAGATCTTTGTAGGTGGCCTGTCTGTGAACACAACTATCGAAGACGTGAAGCAATACTTTGATCAGTTTGGCAAGGTGAGGAACTTCTGGAGACCTAAAAAAAATGTCTGTTTGATTTATCTGTAATTTAAACCATTTTCATTGTTCTTTTTTGTGTGGCGTCTGGACAGAAACAAAACAACAACTTAGAAAGTCGAAGCTCCACAGTTTGGTAGATTTTATCTGAGATAATGTTCACTTCCAGAGGCTAGCAGGTGCCTGGAGATGGAGTTACTGCAAGTATGAGGAGGGTGAAAATAATAATGAGGCAACGGGTAAACTTAGGGGTTTTGAGGGGGGGGGGGGGCAGGGGGAGCTGAAAGGGGAGGGGGGGGCTTGGAAAGTTTTGTACAGAGTGTGTGGAGATGGTGAGGAAGAAGTGGGGGGATTATCAGAATCTGAATTAATCTGATGTAACAGCTGCTACTACCCACAACCCCCTTCTGGCCCGTTACCGTGGTGACCTGGCTCACCCATTGTCCCAAAGTAATTCTGTGGGTAAGGGGCTTTTTGTTCTGAAGGAGAAGGGATGCGGTGGGTGTAAGGATCACTCTGCTGCCGGAGTTAGGGGTCGGGTTCGAAACATTCAAAACAAGTTTAATCATTCTCCGCAAACTTCTCTTCCAATCACAAACTTTTCTTTTGTTTTTCCAAAAAAAAAACTTTTTGTGGAACTTTTATTTTCGAACTTCGCTTGAAATATTTGTTGAGCTGTGAAAGACGTGCATGCTGGGAATAGAAGATGGGCTGACAAAGACTCTGGTGAGGGAGGGCCTCAATGTGGAGGCGTAAGAGAGAACTGGGGCAAAGATGGGGTGGCTGCGTGTCGGGGGTAACGAGGGCCATTATACCTCCAAACAAAGCCATGCAAATATTTTCTTAGTTTGCTCAGAATCTCGTTAGCATATGGAGGACCCTTTCGCTAAACGTTTTTCGTCCCAAATCGATCTCGAACTTAATGAATGAGTTAATCGTGCTGGGATATCCCCTCTACGCCGATGATATGCTGATAAATTAGACCAAAAAAGCCAAAAGAAAAGTCTGTCAAACTTTCTAAACGCCAAGATGCAGTGAGCACATTGAGGCACGACGCTTCCGGCCACTTTATTTTCCCTGCCAGAAGCCATGGCCTCCAGCTTCTCGGCGCTCCCTCCTCAATCATAACATCGAGATGAATTTTTGCCGAGAGGGATATGGAGAGATGGACGGCGAAATGTGGGCTGCAGCCATCCATGGAAGTTCCTGATTAGACTGCCTCACTGGACCTTTTGTGTCCCGTCCTGGTGAGGACAAAGGAGCGCGGAGAGGGATGGGCAGCGGATAACGGGGAAGATGAGAGGTGGGGAGGGAAAAAACGGGGGATAAGAGGGAATATTGTTTGGACCCATGCCATTTGAGGAAGAAAAAATGGCTGTTTATGTACAATTGACTCTATTTGAAGCTTTTTAAATTCTATTTGTTTTTTTGTCCATCAGGGAGATTTGCACGAGGTTGGTCTCATGCAGCGACTTTACAGGAGGCAGCCTGTAAACCGTTTGGATTTATTCTAGTCGGGTTACGGCTCCCTGGACATTTGCCCCTAAGAACCAAACTCCCGCAGTGTTGATTGCTTGATTTTCTGATGATTTGTGTCAAAAATAGGTTTGATGTAATGAGCAAAACCATCAGGATGGAAGCAAACATTGACTTGAGACACTGCCTGAAAGGTCTCCTTTCACACCGACGCTCTTCCTTCACCTTTGACCTTTCCGTGGGCAAAATGCCCTCAGGGGTTCACATACGCCACACACAAACACAGTCCTATCACTGACACTCTTATGTGACTGTGACAGATTATTCTGGGGAACTTATCCAGTAAACTTAATATAGAGCATGAGCCGGGATGAATTTACCAAATGCTTACAAGTAACCTCGCGTTGAATGTGGAGTTTAGAGGAGTCGGTTTGGAGAGAAGAAACTCTGCGTGTGTGTTTTTTAGTGTGTTGAATAGACACCTGTGTCTTTGCTCCATAAAGGGAGGCCGGGCCGAAGGGAGAGGTCAAAGGGAGAAGAGGAGGAGGACTTTTGGCTCACTGTGCCAACAAACAAAGCCTGCAGGCCTCTTTGTTCTCCCCCTGCTTTTGTTTCTTCCCTTTTTTTCCCCTTCCCTCTACTCTTTGACCCAGTCTTTCTCTCTCCTGCAGGACTCCCTGTGCTCTCTCTCTTGCCGTATCTCCACCTGTTGCCATTCCTCTCGCTATCAGCTCTCTGCGCTCTCATCGCGTCTCCACCTGCCTGCAGGATTCACCTTCCTGCCTCTGACTGGCTTCTTGTTTGTGTCGGCGCTTTCTCTCTCTCCTCGGCGTCTCTCTGGCGCTCTCCCAACATTCATAAAAGCCTATTTGATGTTGGTTGAAGTTTTTTTTTTTTCTGAGCTACAGGACTTTCTTGTTCGGTTGCTATGGAAATGTAAAACTTTAGAGGAGAGAAAAGAGGCGCATGTAGGGGAGTCTCATGATCTTCCTCCTGTGCTGCTGTTAACATACATACTGGAACCTGTTGTGAGCTTATTTTCCCACTTTTGCCCCCCCTCCCCTCCCCTCCGGACCACCACTTTGTAACCTGTCGCCCTCCTCCTTCCCCCCCTCCTTCCTCCTCTCTGTCCATCTGTTGCTGAGCCTCCCGACAGAACTTGAGAAGGGCTGAGGTCAGGCAATATGCCGCGTGGCAGGACGGAGCGGCGCGCTAAAAACCTGTGCTGTTTCTCTCCCCTCAGGTCGACGATGCCATGCTCATGTTCGACAAGACCACAAACAGGCACAGAGGTGAGACCAGACCCGCCCGCCTCCCCGTTTGCTCGTTCCTCCTCTGCTCCTTCCTGTTCTCCATTTACCACTCATCCTCCAGCCCTTCCTGGGTGGCTATTGATCCCCCACCTCCATCTCCAACCCCCACCTCACAAGAGTCTCCTTCCTGTGGGCTGAGCTGGAGGAGACAAACGGGGCTAGTCTAATTAGCCAGTCCGTTAATCGGGATCAGGATAAAGCCTCCTTAAGCACCTCCTCCCCACCCAGGGATTGATCGATTATGACAGCCTACCAGCTTTACCCAGTCCTTCTGGCTAAGGGGGGGGGGGGTCAAGGATGAGTGCAAAATAGCAGCATTGAAAGTGGGGGAGGGGGGCACATGTGTTAAGAGGCTATTACAGCACTAATTACGGCCAGCAGTACAGGAAGGCCCACTGTCTGCTCTTTATGAACTTAAACTTTTCTTCTTCTTCTTAGGGTTCGGATTTGTGACATTCGAGAACGAGGATGTGGTCGAGAAAGTCTGCGAGATCCACTTCCACGAAATCAACAACAAAATGGTGAGCAGCCCGACGCAAGCGTCCCGCGGCTCTGCTGCCGATCACAGGGAACGAACGTGGCTGATTCATCTCCCGCCTCCTCCTGAACAGGTGGAGTGTAAGAAAGCTCAGCCCAAGGAGGTGATGTCCCCCACCGGCTCGGCCAGGGGGCGCTCTCGGGTGATGCCCTACGGGATGGACGCCTTCATGCTAGGAATTGGTATGCTGGGTGAGTTTCTATTGATCAGGAAGGATGTGGTGATCCCGATCTCTGCTGCCTTAAAGGTCGCATGGCGCTTCTCTCTGGGAGCTGACCAAGATGTCCGCTGCTGCTTCAGCAGCTCCTTACCGTCTGACATGCTGTCTGCATCATATTTAAGACGATAGAATCACCCAGATAGATTCATCAATGTAATTTTCTATATGAAATTTAATGGGCTGAATCATAATGAAAAGAAAGAAGAATTAATTGCAACTAAAGATGTAGGAGAGGCGGCAAGCAAACAGTGCAGCATGGCGGTGGCAGCATCATGCTCTGGGATGCCCTTAGAAGCTGACTGCAGGAAAATCCTGACATAGAAATAGTTTGAAAAAAAAACAAAAAATAATTTTTCCAGCAGGAATATTAGCTTTAATAACCAACCAGAGGGAAAAAAAGGGTGTAGGGCTGCAACTAATGATTATTTTACTTATTGATTAATTTTTTTCAATTAATCGTTTAATAATCTGATAGCAAAAGGTTCTTTAAAAAAGATTTTTTACAGCTTTATACCAGCTGAAACTAAAACTTTTCCACTTGAGAAGTTCTGGGTGGAGCAAATTGACAGATGAAAATATTTTTTTATCCTAAATCCAAAATATTTACAGAGTTTTTTTTACAATTTTCATCTAATTACTGCTCTAAGTGTATCGCTCTGTCATCTAAAGGCCTGTTTAGAGTCTTGATACTCCAGTTAACAATTAATTGATTACTAAATTAGTTGCCGATTACTTTAATAATCAATTAATCACGATTAATCTGATTTTTAATCTGTTTTAGCCCTAAAAGTGTGCTTGTTGTTTTTATACGGTAGTTTATTACATCCGCAAGGGCAAAAATAAAATTAACATGTTTTTTTTCCCTTTTAGTCGTGTGATTAGTGCTGATTTATCAGATAGAGTCAGATCAAATATTGAAGTCTGGTTTCTACCTCAACTTTTAGGTTGAAAGCTCAAAGTAATGAATGCTGCTGCTGATCATTTTTCCTAATCTTTGCATGAATAAACCCACTCATTAAAGCGTTTAATTGACGGTGTTAGTTAATGTTAGGGTTTAAAAAGAAGCAACCTTTCCTAAAATCTCTATATAGTCACCAAATCTTTCTAAAACCTATTTTTTTTGCCCCCTTCTTCATTCCGACTTTTTTTTCTTAAAGTTTTTCTCTCTGAAAAGTGCAGAACTTGTGACCAGAAACTAAACTCGCCGTGCCAATGCTACCACCTACTGTTCAGACCGAGGACTGCCTTCTGCCCTTTGCTTCATTCATTAATTAGCAGCTAAACATGAGGTTGGACTCTCTCAGAGTTTGGAGAGAGTAGAGGATGGCGTGATGTTTCCTGTGGTTAAAGCGTTCAGCTCCTGTTGCATCAGTAGAAATCTGCTCTTTGTGAGTTGAGCTGAGAGTGAAACCGGACCCTAACCCAGTGAGCTCCTCGTTCGTGTTCCTGTAAAGAAATCCGGAGCAGGAGTGTAGGATTACATCCCGTGTCACAGACTCTCCTTCAGCGTTGAGTCAACATGTCCGATGAGTTTTTAACGTCTCCCGCGTGTCACTGCCGGGGTTAAACGAGCATTTAAGTTGTTTACTGTGATTTTCTGCCCTGCAGGTTATCCCGGCTTCCAGACCGCCACCTACACCAGTCGCAGCTACGCCGGCATCACTCCTGGATACACCTACCAGTTCCCTGGTAATCACTGCATGCTCACACTTCTGAATGTCTTAATTAACCGCAAATGGGAAATAGTTTGCAGAATTCAAGCCTTAAAGGTTTTATGTAAAGAAGGAAAACAACAGCAGAGTTTCGTTGTGTTTTCTATAATTATTTTTAAGCAAAATGTTGTAAAATGTTACTATTGTGGTTTATTGTATATTTATGACAGTTTGAATGTTTCTGGTGAATTAACCCAAACAATATAAGGCAGAAAAGCTCTAAACATCCCTCAGAATCAGACATATTTTTATAATCCCAGAGGGAAATTACTTTTTTATAAAAACAAAAAAGAAATAATCCCAGTATCTAGCTGCCATGGCAGATAAATGGATTAATTTGACTGTTTGAACATGTGAAGGTAAAACATCATTTATCTGAAGCTGCTTGATGCCAAGCTGTGATTTCTCTGTGTTTCATGGCTGGTGAGTAAAATAATGATTCTATCTGGGTTCAAGTAGCTGGAATAGAGATGCACCGATCAGAATCTCCTGGTGGATTTCAGTTTGGCCTCCTGAAGAATGTTTAGTTGCTTCTTTTTAAGAAACCAAACTCAGATCTGATCTCATTGCGTTGCTGCTGTCAGCAGTACTCAAGTTGGGGGTGAATGGCCATAAATGACCATTCCCCCATACCATCCGCCGTGACATTTTATAACAGAATGTGTAAAATGTCTACTATATATTAACAGTAATGGCAATAATATTGCCCTTTCAACATTTGGCAGGTTTTGAACTTATGAGTAGCCTGAGAAAAATAAATAAAATCAAAGAAGTTGTCCTACCATGACTATGAAGCTGATCCCAGTGGGACATTAATCAAAAATCAAATCAAATGTATTCGTATAGCATTTTACAATAGCCAAATGGTACCCAAAGTGCTTTACAACAAAGCCATAAAAACAATACATAACACATATAAAAACATACAAGATACAATTAAAAGTGCTGTAGTGGTGCAGCGCTGCAGGACGTTAAAAGCCTTCCAGAGGTGCATAGAAAGGTGCACACAGAAAGATGACATCTAAGAGACAGTATTATAGTCAGAATTAAAAGCTAAATTAAAAAAGTGGGTTTTAAGCCTTTTTTTTAAAAAGGCTGAGGTCAGTAGTGGTGCGGATGTCAGGGGGTAGTTTGTTCCACAGTCTGGGAGCAGCGACAGCAAAAGAATGATCGCCCCACTGTTTGAGTCTTGACCTAGGGACCTCTAGCAGAAGCTGACCCGAGGAGCGTAAAGCTCTGCCACAATTGCGGAAAGTTAAAATCTCAGACAAGTAAGAGGGGGCAAAGCCATGAATGGCGTTAAAAACATTAGTCCCTAACTATGTAGGGACAGTGATAGCCATGGCAGTCCAGGGACTGACTGCAGTTCAACTGTAAGGTGCCGACCCTACAGTAACAACCAGACCATGCATATTTCTTTAGGTTAATAGAGTACATTAAATAGGCTATGTAGGCTTTCTTCTTTCTTTTTTACAACTAGACTACTGCCTGTTAGTAATCATGAAATTATTTTGTGAGAAGCAGCGAAGGTTCCACGCTTTGTGAGAGAGCATTCGCTTTAAATTAGCTGAATAAAAACCAAATCGGACTCTTTAAAAGGACTCAGTCTTTTATCATGCATATAGAAAAACAATGTTAAATGTTTATGTTAAAATGAACAAACATACGGCAAGCATTCATCCTAATTATGTTTACTTTGTCCTTTTGAGCCTGAAAAGTATTTTTGCACCAGGTGTGATCAGCAGACGTATTCACCGCCATCACCGTCCTCTGGCTGCTTTAGCTCCATCCTCATTAGACACCAACGTTCATGTATTTCCAGCGCCACTCGTCTCTTATCCCTCTTGGCATCACATTTATTTCACGTTTTCAATCTGGATCTTAGATTTGTCGTCTTTCTTTTTCCACCTCTGCCTGGAGTGACCTCGCTCCATTCCCTCTGCGTTTACGCATTACGCGCACAATACAGTACCTCTGGTCACATGGTGTTGATACAATAAATAAACAAAATGCTTTAGTTTACTAACAAACAGAGGAGATATCCCCAAAGTGGGGGCCACTCTCCCTGGGGGAGCAGTCTATTTACAGGTGGGGACCTGGTAGAAATAAATTAAATACATTTGGGGATTTATTTTGAATAAAATACGTAGTGATAACAATGTTAGATTCTGTTAAACAGTTTAACTTAAAGTAATAATTCTTTAAAAGTGGTAGTTTTCTGATTTTAATTAGATTGTAGTTTATTTTATGACAATTTATTTATTGCATTTGGCTTTTCATTGTTAAAGAAAACGAAGCCACTAATTCATCAGAAAACCTGTTTCTGCCTCCAGAGTGATCTACTGTTGGAGAAACGCAAAGTCATCATCCAACGTGACTAGGCCTCTTTAAACTAGTTAGCATTTAGTGCTAGCTAACATGTGTGTTGAAGTCTGTGGATCGTTACCTAAAGTCTAAGGTTTCCAGAAGTCTGCCGATATTTACTGCCTGCCCAGTGACAGATGGGGAGGTTGAAACAGAGCAGCTGGGCTGCAGCCTGTTCAGCCTTCCTGTTATCTGCTTTAATCAGCGCTCTCTAATGCATCACTGATTCCAATAATTTCAGGTGTATTTAAAAATGTCCCTCGAACTGAGGAATGTCATTTATTTTGCATCAGGATAGTGAGTCCACTAAATAAAAAAAAAAAAAGAGTATTTAAGTTTTTTTCATTCAGAGCCTTTCGAGCTAAAAATACAAAAACATCTAGTTTATCAAATACTGAATACCGAATACAGACTCTATAAGTTTGTGTGTTCAAAATTAAAATGTTTAGTAAATATCTTTTACCAGGAGTGTCTCTTTTTATCTTTTTAGCGATAATTAATAATAGATTGTGTTGGGACAGACATGTTCAGAAACTGTTAACTAAAATAGGAGATACTTTAACGGTTATTAAAGATGTTCTAAATATTTTACACCGCAGATTGTTGAACAAGTACTTGATGCTTTGTTTTTTTCACACCTTGATTATTGCTTAGTGGTTTGGTCAAATAGTTCATCGATTACTATAAAAAAAAAAAAACTACAAATAATTCAGAATAAAGCTGCACGTGTCGCTCTCTCATGGGTTTGGATCAAATGTTGATAAATTGCATGATAACCTTTCATGGTTAAAAGTTAACAATAGATTGCTGTTTTCAGTAATGGTATTTTTATATATAACGTTATAACAAATAAAACACCTTTCATTTTATTTATAAAACTATCCTTTAGTATTAATACACATCATTATCCAACAAGACATGCGGTAAGAGGTAATTTTATTTAAAATCAATTCAATGTTCAGTTTGGTACACGGAACTGTGTGAATATAATTCACTCCCAAATTCTATCAAACAACAGAAAACTCGCTATGATTTCAAAACTTTACTTAATAAATATTACCTTAAAAAAATGTGAATAGTTAATTTAATTAAGTAGATCCTGTTGTGGGGTTCCTGTTAGCTTGTTCTTTGCTATAGATCTATTTGGAGTACCAGTATGTTATTTATTTTAATTATGTTTATCATTTATTTATTTTCTTATTATAATTTTAGTGACCAATGGTGTTAAATGTAGATATATATACATTTTTTGTCAATGTCTTGTGCATATAGTGTGTAAAGTGATGTAATAATTATCACATTACTTGGATTTATCACTTTAGTTGGATATTCACTTTATTAGGATTTAGTTTTTACTTATGCATAGATATACAGACATATATATACATATATATATATATATATATATATATATATATATATATATATATATATATATATATATATATATATATATATATATATATATATATATATATATATATATATATATATATATATATATATATATATATAAACTGTAACTGGAGCGTGTAACAAAAGTAATTTCCCTCTGGGATTATTAAAGTATTTCTGATTCTGATAAACTGTATTGCCACATGGATGATTAGTGGACCCCAGGAAGAATAGCTTTTAGCTGATGCTAAAGCTAATGAGGATCCAAATAAAACAAACAATCAGAAAGTTAAATCACTAAAATATTTGAGTCCTTAAATAATCAAAAGCTGAAGCCCTGGATTTTGTTGACCTGCAGATTTTTTTCGGTGCATCTCTAAACTTTAACGTTTTCGCAGCAGCAGAGCATTTCTAATCCTAATTTATCATTTAAAGACAAATTGTTTTGTTGAAAACCCCAAATTGCTCCCAGATTTTCCTTTTCTATTGAAAAAAATCTTCATTATTATATCAGGATCATGTTTTATTCAAACAGGCTGTGAGAAGAGCTTTTAAAATGCTGCCTGAGGCCATTTCTAGTCTGCTAAGTAAACAAAACGGCTTCACCTAGAACGGCCGAGGCTCCCTCTGTATAAGGTCCAATCAGAGCGAGCTGAATGTGTGGTTTTTATAGTTCTAATATGAACTAAAGATTAAGAGCAGCTTTATACTAAACTCTGTCACAAATACAAACATGTCTCCACAGACAAACTCTGTGGGTGTAAATGGCTGCTTGTAAATATCAGGGAGCGGCGTTGCTTAGCTGCTGGCAGTGTGTGTGTGTGTGTGTGTGTTACAGTAGAAGATGCGCCAATCATCTGGGAAATAACCCTAAAATTAGATTTCCACCAAAGGAAGTTAGAACTCTTGCTTTTTAAATGTGAAATCACTCGCTTGATTAGAGTCGCTCGCTTAGGCGACACGTTTGTAACCAGAACATTTTTTTGACTCCACCTTTTTTTTTTTTCCGTCCTTTTAATTGCTTTTTGCTCTCCCGAAGCCCCGCCTGTTTAGCCCCTCCCCTCCGAGGCGTGTCCCTCGCCTGAACGTGTGCGTGTTGTGCTTGCTGGCGTGTTGTCGGCGGTGTGTCTCTCAACAGCACTCTGATGTTTCTGTTTTAGAGTTCCACTTAGAGAGGACTCCCCTTCTGACTTCACCCCACCCCCCTGAGCTCACAGGTCAGTCTGGTCCCTCCTCTGGACTTTACAAGCAGCACCTTCTCAGTCTGCTCCTCCACATGTCGGCACCTTCACCTGATCACTTCTGGTTTGCATGTTTGTGTTTGTCAACCCTCCTCGGCCTCCATCTGAAGGCAGGGTTGCTGACAGTCGGCCTCATCAGAGGTCCTCTATTATCACCTGTTTAGCTCAGTGATGTTCTGTGGACTCGGGTTCTGCTGCGGTTGCCTGTCAGGTTCTTCAGAACCAAGATTTAAAACCTGGATTTTTCCCTCTCCATCCTTTTAGCCATTCCTCTCACAGCTTATGGACCAATGGCGGCGGCGGCGGCAGCAGCAGTCGTTAGAGGTACGACTCTTTGTTTCCTAAAAGAACAGAACTTTAAATACTGTGCTTTGTAAAAGTATTTGCACCCAAAAACCAACCTTGGTGTATTTTATTGGGATTTTATGTGATGGGAGGAAAAATATAACAGAATTCTTAATTGTATGAAAATAAAAGGTTTTTACAGTGTCAGGTCTAAGCACATAAAACATCATACATACATACAGGGAAAGAAAGAAAGCACAGAGACAGTTAATTTAGTTACTTGCGTTATTAAGAGTAGGAAGAAGACTGCGGAGTTTACAATCTCCACCCCACTCTGCAGTCTTCAGCTTTCTGCTCGCTATTTATTGAAGAAAAGGGGACGTCCCTAATTACACCAGCTGAGGTTTAACTAAAGGAAAGGGGAAACAAAAGGATCTTACTTTAAACCTCAGCACATATGTTAAAACAAAGCATGTGGTTGTTTTACAATTTAATTGTTCCAAGAACACATGTTTAGAAGAAACATGTGATAGAGGATGTTCAGGCCTCTTTTACAACCCGTCCATTGCATGACCTTTATCTGGAACAATCTTAAGCAAGAGGTAATAAAAGATGTATCACACATTATACATCATAATAGTTCATTAGAACACAACCCATGAAACACAAACAAAGTAAGAGTATAAATAAAATATTTCTTCTCATACATTTCACATGTGTAGTGTTTATCTTTGCTAAACCCTTTAATCTCAAACCTCTAAATAAAACTAGGAATTAATTCAATTTTAGGCTGATATTTTAAAACTCAGTGGCAGATAATGGATTTTTTCTCTATATACCGACTCAGACACTGTAGTTTTTCCTCTGCAGTCTTTCCAAAAAGCAGCTCTTTTTCTGAAAGAGTAGAAAACATCCAGACCACCAACATTTTTTCTGATATTTAGTTCCAAAGCGTATATAATCCGTAGCTGATAATATGCTGTATCTCTAAATAAAACCCTACAGCAACCAGAGCTTCTAACCTTCAGAAAGAATGATAAAAGTCTCCCTCTTAATTTTTTTCTTCTCAGGATAAATCCATCTTTTATGTGAAAATATCAGCCCACAATTTCATCATCATGTCACCATTTAAAGCCTCATTTAGTCCTGCTGTGGAATCAGCTCCATCCTATGGGGCATTTCAATCTGTGACCCCCCCTAAAAATACATATATTTACTCCACTCTATATTTATTTATACATGTACTGAGAAATAATTATATCCTATTTTAAATAAATGCATGTTTTAAATTATGTGATTATATTTAATCATTTTCAATGTATTTTGATTATTTAAATTGTGCATTTTACTAATTTGCTGCATAATTTATTTTGGAACCATGCATTAAAATTAATAAATAATTACAGGTTCTTTATTCACAGTAAATTTCTTCAATGAACATTCAGATTTATGTATCTAATAATATAGATTGGCTTTGCATCTAACTCCGTGATCACATCACAAGGATTGTGAAAACATCTCATGCCCCCCTGCAGGGTCCCCACCCCTTCCTTGGGAACCCCTGCAATGCAGGAAACACCTGGAAGGAGGGTCTTCAATCTGATTGGACCAAAGGCTGTGTATAGTGGGCAGCATAGTGCTATCTGACCCATAAAAAACAAAAGCCCTCAGTTAAACACGGTAGTGCCAGCATCATGCTGTGGGGATCCTTTTATTCAGGAGACTTAAATTATGCACAGAATAGATGTAAGATGAATGTTAAGAAAAACCTGTTAGAGGCTTTAAAAGACCTAAAGCTGAGGAGGATGATCATGTTTTAGTAGAATAACAACCAAAACTAAATCACAGAGCTTTAGATGAAGGAGAATGTGAATCAGAACGGCCTAGTCAAAGCCCAGAATGAAGTCCAGTTCAAAATGAGCTGAAAGACAGATTCGTTTTTGCAGATCTTCTCCATCTAAACTGTGGTGGAAAAGAAACAAACACCTCAGCTTTGTGGCGGCGTCAGAGGACCGGCAGCTGATTGGTGGAGGCAGAACTGGATCTGATGTCAGAGTCACTGATTAAAAACAGGCTGAACCCACATTCATCTCAGAGTTCTGTCAATAAAGCAATGGGAAAAAATAATGATATTCAGTTAAAAAGATGCATGAAATCCTGAACAAAAACATCAAGGTTTGTGTTTGAAGGTGAAGCGGAATCATATTTACGTTTGACCTGAGAAATGGATCTCCTGCCGCTCTGGTCGGATCTGATCAGTGCGGACCGTTTCCCTCTTCGCTACGGTCAGAGGAAGTGTGTCGATGGTCGGGTCTATCCAGTGAAAGTTAAACTTTTTACATTTCAGGTTCCACACCTTCCCGCTCGGCAGGATTTTTAGGAACCAGCAGCCCGGGTCCGATGGCGGACCTTTACGGAGCGGCCAGCCAGGAGTCGGCTGTCAGCAGCTACCTCAGCGCTGCCAGCCCGGCGCCGAGCACCGGCTTCAGCCACAGCCTGGGGGTGAGTTAAGACGCCCGTTAGACTAGATCTGTCTGTGGATGCTGGAGCTAACATTAGCAGGAGTTCTACCAAGTTTATTTGATGACATCTAGCTGGAAACCGAACCAATAAATGTCCCACGGATTGCGCCCTCGGCTTCACGGGCCAAACGTTCCGACTGAGGCTGAGCAAACTGTTCACTGGTGAAACAAGCTGGTTCTGATTTTCTGCCATAAAATAAAGGAGCATTTGGAAAATCTTTACTAAACTGAAAGCTGTAATTTAACTGTGGTACAAACAAAAACATCAGTCTGTTTTATTTGGATCTTATAGACAGATTAACATAAAGAGAAGAAAATGCTGGTTATGATTTTAAACTTTTCGTTATGAAATTAAAGCCTGTGGTGTAAGGCCGGGCATTCGCTGTACGATGTTTTGCCCTTTTTGGTCCGATTCTCCAGTCGTGCGAGAAAATTATTTGATCAGGCCAACTTTCAGTCTGATCATGCATGGTGTATTGTACAGCGGGTAACGAAGGGCGATCAGCCTCTAACGACCGCCTGCCAATCAGGAATCATGAGGACAGGAGAAAATAAAACATGTTTGAAATTTAGCAAACAAGGATTCTTCTTTTTCCTCTTAGATGTAAACAAAGAAGCATGGCGGGGTTATGAGTGAAATGAAGTTCTTTCTGTAAAATTGACAGACGTAGTAGCCGAAAATAGTTCAAATTGCCAAGGCAGTGCAGCCTGATAAACTTGACTAAATTGGACATTAAATGTGTCATTTAGTCTCACCCCAATGAATGAGACATGGGAAGATTTTTAAGGAGAACAACCCTTTGTTTTTCAAATCATGTCTGTGCCTATTGGCCAACGCTTTGACCAATGAGCGCAACTGACCGTAACGTAGTAAGCGCGACAGAAAGCAGGTGGGGGAGTGTAAACAAACAGCTTGTCGGTAAAACGATGAATACAACCTTCTTAAAAATGAATGAGCGTAGAGCCTCTTCCTGCTCACGTTTCAACGAAAACCCAAAGTGTAATCCTTCCAAAACTGATTCCAAAGCTGAGTCAAACCACAACTGTTCAATAGTTGTTCCCATCTTCTGTTGTGCTTTCTCCAGCGTCACGCAGCTTTGTCGTCCCATCCGCTTTGCATTGAGAAATTCAAAACACATCTCTGCGTTGTGATTGGCCCGCCAGTTCTAGGGCCTGGGGCATTGATCGAGGCTAGACGACTCGCAGGCTGAACACAAGACACTTCCGTCTTTTTCCTCTTCTCTTGTTTGGCTTCTGGATAGACGAGTATGAGCAGCTCCATTTCACTGCGGAGATGAGTCCGACGTGGTGTTAAGACGTAGAGTGTGCGCAGGTAGATCGCATCAGAGCCTCAAATCACAGTGTGAGAACAAACATCGTAAGCTGTGAACTGCATGATGAAACAGCAGGGTTTCTGAACCCTCCAAGCCAGAACAGAACCACCTCTCTGCTGCTTGAAATGTTGTTGAAATATTGGCCCTTTTTTTGCACATTTATCTCAAGCTCAGTCAGACTGGATGGAAAATGTCTGAGAATTGTGGATGTGGGCTTTGACTAGGCCATCCCACATCTATAAGCTCTGATCTTAACCAATCTGTTGTAGCTCCAGCAGTTTAGAGCTGGATGATGAACTTCTGCCTCCGTCTGAAGCCTTTCGCTGCATCCAATGTTTAACTATCCGACTGATGTTTTCAGGGTAGTTTGTTTTTAACCCCTTATGATGCTTTGAATGTGATAAAATGCTAATTTCAGCACCATGTGAACAGAGCTCTGTCTTTCTTTCAATGGTCGCTATAAAATGCACTGTTGGGACTCGATCATGTTTTCTAGTTGAGTTAATTAGAGGTTCTGTAATTAGTACAGTCTACAGACTTTAACTGAGGCAACTTTCATGAATCCAGTTCATTTATTTAAGTATTTAAATCTCTATATATATATATATATTCCAAATTGTATAACATTATGCTTCATCCATTGAGGCCTTAGGAGACCCTGTTCACCAGTTCAGTGGTTTGGAATGAAATTAATTGGATTTTACTCACAGGAATCAGACTAAAAGGGATGAAAATGTTTATAGATATATAAAACTTAGGTATTAGTTTTTCAGCTGTTTAAAAAAAACATAATTCTTCTCCTTATGAGCAGTAAAAAACTTCTCTGCTGATCTTCTAATCTAAAATCCGTTTGTGTTTGTAATGTGGAAATGAAACCAACAAAATGAAAATAAAGCAAAGTTCTAGTATGAGGTTGCTAAAATGGCAGATTTGATCCAACATGGCCGACTTCCTGTGGGGTTTGGACCGCGAGTCCAAGAGACTTTTTTGTAGGTCTGGGTGGGTTCAACATGTACGGAGCCCCTAAAGGGACATCTAGGGAAAAATAAACTTTTGCGAGATCTCGCAAAACGTTTTGCCATGTCAGCTAACCGGAAGTAAAACAGACACACAACAGTGGAGGTGCAAAGTGTACTGCTATGGGAGGATAATACGCCCATGTGTCAGCTACAAACATGGAGGATGATTTGGAGAGATTCTTAATTTCTAGAAAAGTCCCAAAACACGACATTACATGAAGAGAGAGAAGGTCAGTACGCAATGCTACGGAGCCCCTAAAGGGACATGGAGGGAAAAAAGAAACTTTTGCGAGATCCTGCAAATGTTTTGCAGGATCTCGCAAAAAATAAACTGTTGCGAGATCCTGCAATACTTTTGCGAGATTTCGCTAAACTTTTGCAGGATCTCGCAAAAGTTTATTTTTTTCCCACCATGTCCCTATAGGGGCTCCGTAAACATGTGACCCAGATTTTGTGATCCTTTGTCAAAGCATGGTCTGGGGCTGATTGTTTTAGCGCTGCTAGGGGGCGCCATGGAGCAACAGGCGACCAAAGATCCCTCCCATCCAGTTTGCTTTATTTCAGGTGTAAATATCTCCTCGTTTGTTTTGAACCAATCAGCATATTTCTTATTTCTTAAATAGTCCAGTTTACTGGAACAGATGCGTTTGTTGTAACGCTGAACTCTAACGCAGCCTGCTTGCTCCCACAGGGCCCTTTGATCGCCACCGCCTTCACTAACGGCTACCACTGAGAGCGTGAGTGCGTCCGCCGCGCTAGCTTCCTCCTCTCCGTCGGCGGCGGCGAGCTGTGAGTAACCCGGGCTGCTTTGTGTGTCAGTGCAGAGCCGCAGACTGAGAGCTGGAAGGAGTTGAAGCTGCGCTGGAGCTGATCCGGTTCCCGTCTCTGTCCCACTCCACGTCTCTCCCCCGTTTCGTTTTGGGCGGCCGGACGTTCGCCCCCGCCCCCACCTGTTGACGGCCACATCATGCCCACCTTACTGACGCCTCACTGAACTCCACCTCCTCCTCAGAAGAAAAAATCCCTTTATAGCAACACATTCAGATGCTGTATTTTGTTTTGTTTTATTCTGCTGTTTTGATGTTTTTTTAGCTGTATTTTATTTAGCTGATTTTCCTCTAAATGATCTCTGTGGAGGAGGAATAGTTAGGTTTCCACCATGCCTGTTTTCAAGCTGTAAAATGACTGTACATTTCTCAACTTTACACTGAATGTCAACACTTCATACTAATTCTGAAAGGATGGCAGGAATTATAGATCTTGGTTGGTTTTAACCGAGAGCCGTCGCTCTAATTATTCTCTAAAGGTGCAGAAAAACGTACCACGCCCCCCTTCCCTGGAAAAAGTACTTAAAAAGCTTTAAATTAGATTCATTTTTTATTATTTCTGTGGTTTAATCGCTCACTGAAGAAGGAATCAAGGTCAAAACATATTTATCCATCAGAATATTCAGAATGATCAACTTAAAGTAAAATTTTATTCATTATAAGAGGTAAAGATAATGACGCCTGCTTATTTTATATATTTTTTCACCCCCAATTGAATTAACATATTATAATTAAATGATTATTTTTCAGTGTGGGATTATTCTGCTGCAACATATGAATTATTTTGAAGGATTTTTAGACATTTTTACCAGGGGTGCCAAAAAAAGAAATGGCAGCATCTTTACTTCCTTAGCCTTCAGGAGCTGTAATATTTTGTAAGATATTGTAAATAGGAGTGATTTCCGGGTGGCAGGGCTCTGCCCGTCCTCGTGTCCAGGAGGTTGGAGGCTTTTGGAGAAGGGGAAGGCGTCGTATTCCCGCCCGGAGGGGAAAAAGGTCTCAGTTTGTAAAAAAACAAAAAGGAATCAGGCGTCAGCTCTGAGTGATGAGCGCTTCCTGGGAGATGAGCAGGAAAGAGGCTGAAGCTGGGAGACCTTCTACCTTCTGGGAGATGAAGGTGTGAAAACGCTCCTCTGTCAGAGGAGAGAGGGGGGGGCGGATGATGCTGTTTTCTAATTTTATCACGTTTTAACTGATTTTTAATATCCAGTTGTTGTTTGTGAAGGAAAGTGAAGGACTTGCATGCTGGAGCAGTCAGCGACTGATTCACGTCCATGAATACGTCATGTGGTTTGATACACGTTGTTTTCCAATGTGCTGTAATTAGGAGGGTATTTACAAAATGTGAAATATTAATCTGATTTCTTTCTGTCTTTTGTTTTTTTTTTGTTTTCCATTTCATTAACGTGTTTGTCAGGGTGTGGATGGTAAACCCCCAAGCATCCACGCCCTCCAGCTCTGCGTATCCACTGGAGGTCACAGACTGTAGCGACGGGACGCCTTTCTGTCCGCGTTGTTTCTCTTCTTCTTTTAAACGTTAGCTGAAAACAAGGCGGCCGCCACCTTCAACATAACCAGGTTTTACATTTTGATACTCGCTCTGCCTGCTGAGGAATAACTTTCTTGTCGACACTGTAACTCTTTTCTGATTTTTTTTTTTCCTGCCATGATTTTAAAAAAACAAACAAAAAAACTACTTTTTAAAATTCCTAATAAATTATTTTAAAACATTCCACCTCTGGTGTTTGGTTTTTTATAGTTATAAAAAAGGAAAGCAGCTCCTAATCGATCACACGAGGAGAGGATGGAGGTAAAATTCAGTGAAAACCAGGGATGGATTTTCTGGACTGTTCTATAAAAGCAGATATTCCTCGCTTATTTCAGAAAGTGAAGCTTGATTGATTAAATAAATGATTATGCAACGTGTGAAGGAGAGAATCAGAAGGTTTTTCCTTCCAGCTGCTGTCAGACTTCATCCAAACCTTTACAGCTCAGCAGCAAATAAAAACACGTGCAACAAACATAAGGTGTCTGCATGAGCAGTTTTATATATGCATGTTCATTTTTGCTATGTATAAACATTGTTTTTCCTCTTTTATCTTAAACTGTTCACATTCTGTCCTGACAATTCAAGTTTCCCTCTAATAAAGGTTTATTAGATCCTATGATATTGATGATTAACCTCTCAGATAATCAAACCCAGCATTCAGTGTCTCAGTAAAATGCTTCCAGTGAGGTAACGGCCCTAAAGCTCACTGCTAATATTTGATTGGCAGAATCATTATTTATTATAATGATCAATAAAAATAATAAAACTAAAACATTTTTAGGGTGAATTTTCAGTCTTAAAATACGATAATAAAAAACAGTCAAATGGATTTTGGGTGACTGGACTTTAGTTCGGTGTATTATTTTACCTTTCTTTAGAATTAAAAATTGGCAAGAGGTAAGCTAATATACATTAGAAAAATTGAATGAAATATACACTGGAATAAATCAAAATCTAGATAAGTTATTTTTCCTTAAAATAAGTGTTTTTTCTTTCTTGAATTAAGCAGGTAAGTGATAAAATTTTCCAATAAAACGAGACAATTTATATTTAAAATAAGAATAAACAATCTTATTTCAAGTGCATATTATCTAATTATCTTATTTTAAGAGTAAAAATACTCATTCAATTGGCAATTCGTCTTATTTACCTACTCAAAGGTAAATACACTTAGTTTAAGAAATTTTTACTAATTTCTAAGTCGTTTTTCGAGTGTAATTAATGTTTCTTTCTTGAAATCACTGTTTTTTTCTTTTGATCTGGTAAGTCAGACAATTTCACATCAGAAAAAGGTGATTTAGCTTTAAAATAAGAAAAAAAAAACTGCTCCATTATCTTATTTCAATTGCATAGTATCTAAGAATCTTATTTTAAGTATGAAATACTCCTTTCATTGGCAGATCATTATTTGCCTGCTCAGATTAAGTTCAAATACTTATTTTAAGAATTTTTTTTTTCTTTTTAGCTGTGATTTTGCATTGAAAAGAAATCCAATGTGCTTTTTGAAACAAGCTGAGTAAAGGAGGTAAAGAATGAGGCTAAAACTAAAACACCAATGTAACACTTCACCCCGAACACACCATACTTAATAAGAAGTAAGGCGGTGGCAGCATCATGCTGAGGCAGTGGCTAGAGTTGATTCATATACACGGTGATACTGAGGAGAGACCTCAGATCGGGGCAGGATCTCGCCTTCCAGCAGGACAGAAAACTGAAACCTGGAGACAGCAAAACAGTTTAGATCAAAGCATCTTTATCTGATAAAACAGACGTGAATCCTCTACAGAAGCCTGATGGGTTTAGGGGTCATTTAGAAAAGAAAAGGAACTGTAAAATGTTAGTCTTTAGATTTCCAAAGCTGGTAGAAACACCAGCTTTGACTCTACCGACTCAGGGAGGCTGAAAAAATATACGTCACACTTTTTGATTATTTTCTAAACTTCCTTTGAAATGGTTAGCAACGTATTATATGTTATATAAAAACTGAATATAAAAAATGAAGTATAAATGCTTCTGGACGGCCCTGCTGTAATTCATTTCACCTTTTTCTCTCCATCTCCTGCCACGTTTTGATGCTTTTTACACTAAAAAAAAAAGAATGCAACTGTTTTTGGAATTTACTTAATCACATTTAGTTGCTTTAACACAATTGTTTCGTGTTAGCAGGGTAGGACATAAAGCAATTGTGTAAAGTAACTAAATATGATTAAATAAATGCCAAAAGCGGTTGCATTATTTCTTTTTATCTATCTTTGTCTTTTTCTAATAATTCTTTTATTTAAACTACATGCTACAGCTCACTGGTATAATGATAATAAGTTCTCCATTATGAAGCGATGAAACCGGTTCTGTCCATTTGCACATTTTATTTCCCTCTGAGTCTCTGTGCTGCTCAGACGTCTGCCTCCACAGAATGATTTCTCTCCTCCATCATCACTGCTCCGCTGCCTCCCTTCCCCTGCTTCCACACACAGTCTCCCAGCATCTCAGTCCTCTGGCTATGTCCCTCCACTTTTCCTATCTTGAGGGACGTTTGCAGATGGTCACGAACACCAAGCGCTCCTCTTCTGGAAGCACGAAGAGCTCAGGGGACCCCTCCTCGTGAGGACCAACCCTCCATCTCAATATACTCACCTGTTTCTGCCAAGCATGGCTCATTAATATCATGGTTCCCTCTGTTCTGCTCAGTTACAATGCAGACCTGGAAGGTTTTTCTTTTCTCTTTGGTATATGCATCCATTTTAACATCATGAAGTCATAATATATAGAGAATTATCAGTGAACAAAAACATTTTCGGACAATACACTGCAAAAAAAAATCTAAATAAGTAATTTTTTTCTTGAATCAAGGAGGTAAGTGAGACACTTTGCTGATGGAACAAGACAATTTACATTTAAAATAAGAAAAAAACTATTATCTTATTTCAAGTTCATATTATCTAATTATTTTTAGAGTAAAAAACTAATTCCATCCTAGTCAAATTAAGGGTAAATACACTTAATGTAAGAATTATTTACTTATTTCTATGTTGTTTTTGCAGTGTAGGATCATTTTTTTAATTGCTGTCCAAACATTGCAAAACAATGAAATCTTAATAAGTCTAGATAAATAATTTTTCCTTAAAATAAGTAAAATATTTCTTGAATTTATGTGGAAAGTGAGACACTTTGCCAATGAAAGAAGATAATTTACACTTAAAATAAAAAAAAACAATTATATTGTCTTATTTAAAGTGCATATTATCTAATTATCCTACTGTATTTTAAGAGCAAAACTACCAATTCTATTGGCAAATAATCTTATTTACCTACTCAAATTAAGGGTAAATACACTTAATTTAAGAATTGTTTACTTATTTCTATTTTTTTAATTGCTGTCCAAACATTGCAAAAAAAAAAAAAAATCTTAAAAAAAAATCTTAAGTCTCGATAAATAATTTTTCCTTAAAATAAGTCAATTTTCTTCTTGAATTTATGTAGTAAGTGAGACACTTTGTCAATGAAAGAAGACAATTTACACTTAAAATAAGAAAAAAATTACATTGTCTCATTTAAAGTACATATTATCTAATTATCCTATTTTAAGAGCAAAACTACTAATTCTATTGGCAAATAATCTTATTTACCTGCTCAAATTCAGAGGAAATACACTTAATTTAAGAAATTTTTACTTATTTCTGGATATTTTTTTCAGTGCATCCAGTTTCTGTACATTAACATCACATCTGCTCCCAGTTTACCAGCAGAAAGATTGTCTCCATCTGACTGTTTTCAGCCTCATGCTTAGCATTCATTGCAGCGTTTTTAGACCTGAAAGCATTAGTTATGATTTGACACATCATATCTGTGTTTTCTCTGCAGGAGACGGGCGGCTCTGAGTGAAGTTGACATCCAAACAGCAGCTGTTGTTTTGAGTAACAAGATGAGGCATGCAGGCAGTCCACAGATATGATTTAGAGATAATAAGAAGGGTGAGCACAGGTGCAGCTAGATGCAAAAGAAGGGAGCAAATCATTTGTTTATAGCAGTGGCCATGACTGCCTCTTTCTGCTGCTGTTAGCTCCCTGACCAGTGGTGCAGAATAAAAAGTAAAAATTGTACTGAAAAAAATACATATGTTGCAGCTTTACAATTTACTTTAAAAAAAAAATCCTGTTAGTTATACGTAAAAACGTGTTACTTCAAAAATGATACATCCTTTGTTGTATTTTTCATCTATTAATGTCGCCATTTTTTCCACCTGAGCAATGCACGCTGGGTAGATGACGCGGTTAGGTCTGAACCTACAGATTAAACACAGGAAGGCTAACATTAGCAGTTATTTTTTATCATATCGTAACATGAATAAATTTAGCAAAATGCCACACTGTCACTGCCTCAACATTTTCATAAGATGTTACATGAGATTTCTATTGGAACAAACATACTGTAGCAGCTAGAGCTAACAGCATTAGCAGAAACAGACGTGAAA